GCTGCCAGCCGGTGCCGCTCCCGGGGCTCTCCGGACGGACCCGCTGGGCCCCGTCCCGCCGGCCTTGGCCCGCACTAAGCGAGTGCCGGGCATTGCTCGGCGAGCTCGATACGGGCTTCGGCGTAAAAAGTTTATTGCTCTGGCAGAGTTGCGTCCTGCAAGAATTAAAAACAAAGCACTTCGCGTGCTGTAAAAATAAAATTAATTTATTGACGCCTCGAGGCGCTTGAAACAGAAGACGGTGAAGATTGCAACTCAAGTTTTAACATGAATCAAGGTGAAAACGAGTGCTTGGAGAGCGTGTGCCTCGTGGTTGTGCTGAGCCGTGTCAGGTGTAGTGAGCGGCTGGGCGGCCACTTGGGGAACCCTCGTGGGGGCCGCAAGGAGCGGGCTGCCCGGAGCGACTGTTCTGTCTGCCTGTAAATGGGCCAGCGTGGTCCCCTCTCCAAGGATTTCTTCTTAGGATTTGTTCAAATGCAACGTTCAGATGATTTCAGCTTCTCATTAAACAAAACCATTAACGATTTATGTCAATGTTTTGTGATTGCTTGAGACTGTGGTATCTTTTTCCTTGGAACAAGGGAAGACTACAGCTCTCTGTTTGTATTTAATTTCTGTTTAACAGTTCAGGAAGCTTTCGTTTTGATTTTTTCCCCCCCTTTAATGTTTTAGTGAGAAAATTTGGCCGTATACTGTGAAATAACCCAATGCTGAAACTTTATGATGCCGGTTTATTCCACGCTAATAAATTCTGTTTCCAACTTCTGTAATTATTCAATACTAGCCTGGGAGTGGCAGCAGTGAGCACATTGCAAAGCATGTCAGTTTTTTCAGGCTTTACAAAGTTTCGCTAATTATCCTTTCCCCTCTTCACCTATAGTCATTTACATTTTCTGAACTGAACAAAGTATTGATGATAGAAATATCCTAGACTCAGCTTAGAGCAGTTACTAATAAAAGAAAAAAAAAATGTCTCCATGCAAGAGAGGTTTTTGCTGGTCTTTGTCTTTTGTTTTTCTTAATCTAGAATAATTTTATCGACTTTCAAAATGTTTCACCAGATTTTTTTGAACTGTCTTGTTCAGGTGGCCCAGACAAATAATCTCCTCCACAGGACTCTGTCGATTTGGAAGTAGAATTGACTGCTGCTGGGGCTGGGCCCGATTGTCCTGGGGACAATGCCAACGTGAGTATCGTTGCTGCTGGGGCTTCTAGTCACTTGTAGAAAAGGCTTGTACGCACCTAGTCACATCTTTCACACATTCACACACATTCTTACAATGCAAGGCGTAGGCTTTTGCACGTGTGAGTCTGACTTACTTAGAAGGATGTTGTCACATTAAAATTCTGTCTATTATTAACAGGGCTAAAAATGATTGCAATCCAGTAAGGTAGACTTTAGTTAGGGCAATGAGCATTTGGGAATTTCTGTTTGGTTTCCACTTCATTTCATGCTCTGGTCTAATAGCCTGACATAACACTATACTGTGTCATGTTACAAGCCCTGCAGGCTGAGAATATTTGCATCCAAGAAGGAAACCCAAATTATTGGTATTTCTCTTAGAAAGTTGACAGAAATGTTCCAGTTAGAATTAAGTTCAAACATTCTTTCAGTAACCCCAAACTAAGGGAATAAATCTGCCTGACAGCATCCTTTTAGTGGGTCACACATGGAGAGAAACTTCTCGGAGATTCCCACATCTATCTAGAATCTTTGATATGATTGCAGGATAACCAAGTAGATAAGCATCATTAACTACATCTTCGAAATGTATTCTGTGGTGGCAGCTAGCACTGTGTAGAAGTTAAATTTGTTAGGAGTGTCATAGAGACCTCAGCTTGTTAAAATTATAGCCTTTGATATTGGAAACACTCGTGTTTGTAACAGTGCATACATGAGTGATATCCCCTAAGTTTTTGCAGGAGTGTACCTATAAATACTGTTACTCATTTTTAAAAATTTAAATGCAAATATCTGTAAACTAGATAATTTTCTGCTAAGCCATTTTAAAAGTAAAACAGGTATTAAATACTTTAAGTTGCTTAGGGCTGTGGCTGTAGGTGGCAAATGTTAAGAAAAATATAGAAATAGCATTAGCAATGCAACTACAGACTCCCAGCAAAGGTTTTGTTCAAATCTGTAAACAGCAAGACAGGCTTATTCTTTCCCAAGCGTGTTAAAAGCCCACAATGTTTAATAGTATGTAAGATGACTCGTAAATAAGCTATAGAAAGTACTTCTGGAATTTAATATAACTTCCCTGATACTGTTTTTTGTTACAGAGTTATCAGTCAGATACCTCTCAAGCCATACCATGAATCATTTTGATTTTTAGGGCTGTAACTAGTAACAAGTAGTCTTTCCCTTAAGCTGAATGTTTATTGAGAAGGAAGGAGAATGTGAAATAGGTTGATTGAGGCTACTCCAGAGATGATAGAATCTATGTCCTTCTTTCATAATGCAATTTTATTTGAAAATCATTGAGATTTAAATGTTTGAGGCTATGAAGCCTTAACTGGCAAGTATCAATAATTCACGTTGTTTAAGAAAAATCAACCAAGAACAAAATGAGAAAACCTCAAACACTAAAAGTGCTTCACTGTGGCCCTTTTCTTAGACAAGTCATCTCCTGTGTTGTGACCATAAATAGCAGCTTATGTCTAGGTGGAAGTCAGCTTCTTACTATTACCAAGTCTGATTTGGGGTTGCATTTTTATGATCTTGGGAGACAGGAATAGCATAAAGTGGTGCTGTCAAAAGATTCATATCTGAAAGTTGAAAATAAGTCAAAAATAATACTACACAGAAAGTATTTTTTATTTTTCACTCTGAATTGTCAGTAAGGTCATTTGTAGTGCCATCTTTTTCAGATACCATAAATGGTCTTCTTTTAAGGCTAAAGCTAGGTGAATTCTCACCTCCTTCCACTGCATTTTAGTCCATTATTCACAGATTTGTTCTCCATGGGCATTTCCAAGAAGTGCAGAGATGGATTTTATGTGGTCATCTCCAGTAGTTGGGACCAGACTTTCCAAAGAATACAATTATCACTTTGGTGTCTAAATGCATTTTTCCCCCCTTTTTTTCCCACACCGGGTACTAATAATTCTTGAACTGCTGCTTCAGAAGAGTCACAGATATTTGGGTGAAGACCTTATTTAAAAACTTAGTACCACCTCCTCTTTTTTTTTTAAGTGGGAGACAAATTTTTAGCAAAATAAAGCAAGAAAATCTGACCCAGTTGTGGGTGGTGAAAATTCCAGTCATATCAGAGAGTGGGAGATTACACAAAATGAAAGTGAATCTTTTTAGTGTTTGCAGCCAAACAGAAAAACTGTAGTCAACCCTCCACCTTGGGAATGTGGCATTCAGTATGAAGGATTAACCTGGCACAGAAGGCAGCATTCCTGGCCTCAAAGGAAAACTTGGGGTTTTGCTGTACAAAGGGATATTGCTGAGAAATTTCCAAAAAGCCAAATACACAATTATTTCTCCTGCTTTCTCTGTGGAGAAAGGCAAACCTCTTAGTTCCATCCCTGAAATGAGTGGCATAAATGCATATCAGACTTTTGCTACTAGGTGTACATTGTCTTTGTAGTTTTTAGAAGAAATTGTATTTGCACAATGAAAGCAAGTATAGAGTCAGGGTTAAAAGTTAGTAGTGAGACCCGCTTTACAAATGAGTCCAAAAATCAAGCTGTAAATATTCATGCAATAATGCTGAGCTCTTTATTAGTGAGATTGAACTGTTTTTCTCAAACTAGTTTGAGCCATCCTTGGTATGCCTGCAAATGCTACAGCACCTTTGGACTCTCACCTGCTTACTCATGCATAATTTACTATGTAGGCACTAATTACCTCTGAATTTATCTTTCTAATAACAAATGTAAGGTGAGAGCCATGCTGGAGCCAGAACATAGCAAGAATATAGGCTCCAATACATGATACAGTTGCCTCCATTTACAGAGATCTCTGAACCATGGTGAGCCATGGGAAAGTGATCACTGACAGACCTGGATACATTTTCTGCTCTCCAGCTGAGCTGTTCCACATAACACGTTTGGGCGTGACTTCTGCCCATAGCTATTGAGGAAAAAAAAAAGTGCTTGTTTAAACAAACTGTGTGATTTAGGGTAATGGTTTAAGCCTGTCTATGTCAGTGCTAACAGTGTAGGAGTGCGGCACAGCTGACAAGCGGTAACTCAGTGCTCCTGATCTTCCATTGGTAATCCAGCCATACAGTTGCAAATGGAAACTGTGTTAGCTAAAGTAGCTTTGGTGAAATGTGGAGTAATTCCTTTTATGTCCCTTTGACTGACAATGGAGTGCACTTAGAACATAATTGTGCTTACTGCTGCTTCGTAACACAAGTCAGCATAACTCAGTTGTCTTTTTTTTGCTCTTACAAACATGTAGGAAGAAGTTGAAATCCATCCCTCCTTTAATTCACACACTTCCTTTAAAACATCCTCTGACTCTTATTAATAAATTACACCGATTAAGACTAATACATGTAAGGATGTGCATATAGGTCTAATCTGTCTGTAAACTTGCTTCCAAAGCCTGTGTCAGCTGTAACAACTCAGATAGTAGAAATAGTCTCTCTTCAGTGACATGAAATTGTCTTCCCAAATGCCCTTTCCAATTCCAGCAAATGTACTTAGAAGGTGCCCTTCCTACTGAAATAATTGAAAACTTTGAAACAGGTTGGATTTTTTTTCTTTCTTGCAGTTTATGAGCACCAAAGTGAGGTTTATGTTTAGGCAACTAGATCCATTTTGAGATTGATAGAAATATAACCATATTTTCAAAGGTGCTGAACACACATAACTCAAATGCATTGGCATTTCTTTGTCCTTCTAAACTGAAAATCCATCCACACTTATTTAGTGGCCTAATATAGATTTAGAACTGTGACTATATTCCATCACTAACATAACTAAGTCGCTTTTTGAGGTTTTGATGTGGTATATAAACCAGGTCTATTAGCTTATTAGTTAAACCTGGTGTGTAAAAAGGCTAATTTGGATGCAGCAGAAACGTTTAAGCAACAACTCTTAGTTCATGTGAAGTAACCTCATCATCGGTAGAGTTGATCCTTTACACTGATGGACCCACAGCACCAGTAATATTCCTGTTGAAATTAGTAAAAAAGTTGCATGTTGTTACCTAGCCTGTGGGATTTACCTGTACCTTAATATGTAGTAGTTGGAGTAGTAGCTGTAAGTGGGAATAATCATACAAAAGCCTACTTCTGTGAAAAATGGTATGTTGATAAAGTACCTGATGAGATGTGTGTAAAAATAGTGCTGTTGTCTTGCATTTTTATGTGTTATTGTGTACACAGCAAAACTGTAACCCAGAGAAAAAGTGAGAGTAGAAAGAGTTTCTTCTGGATTTCTTCTCTCAGAGTAGGGAGTTTTGACTTCCTGTGATAGAGTGTTTTTGGTGAGAGGAGATAGTAACTACATTTTTAATTCATAGCTCTTTTTGCATTGTAAGGCTACACTTGGCAACTGTGATACTGAATGTGTTGTCCTAGCTCAAAACCCGTTCAATGGTTTTTAAAGCATACAGGGAAAACCAAGTTGAGGCATGCATCATTGCATGCATCTTGCACACTTTCACTTTTCTTTGTGCCAACGGAAAAAATTTGCCTTATGAAGTTGATAATTTTTTTTATTTTTTTTTTTTTTTTTTAAAACGTGGTATTCAGCATTAGTTTTCATGGTTTGAAATGCCTGGGGGAAGAGAATTTCTAGCACTGGGAGGGCTGGAGCTCAGTTCTTTGGGCTGGGTGAGAAATGTCAACTACAGAAGAGAAAACAGTTGTGTCTGTTCCTGTATTCTAGCTACTGTAGTCTAGGAGACCTGCTGAAGCCTGTCATCTCATCTCCCTAATATGATCATTGTGACAGTATTCTGCAGGGATAATTGTCTTCCTGAGTGTTTCTCAAGCAAAGGATAATCTGGGCTTTGTCTTGGTGTCTCTGCTAGGTCAGAGGTAGGCCAAGAAGCAGAGGAAAATCCCTGGAACTGCTGCTGACTGACCCTTCCTGATAACCTGGTGTACAGAAATCAGCAGTGACTATATACTCACATACTGAGCTCTGGAACGTGGTTAGCCTATCAGAAAACTAAAATATGGCATAAGAAATGCACTCATTTCATGTAGACTTATGTAAGAAGTAGTGTAAGGCTTTTTATTCTCCAGTATGGAAGTGGAAGTTCTTCCCTTCAGTTTCCAACAGGCCATACTAGGGGTTATCGGAAAAATAGTGCTTTGTGAACATTTTTGCCACTAATCCATCTTGGGTCCCAAAAAGTTATTCTTAGAACTAATGGTCTACCTGCCTTGCTTTTAGCTGGCTCACAAATATCTCTGTAGCTCTTTCAAAAGCTATAAAAATGTGTGTGTCTTTCAAGAACAAGATACACCTGCTTTGTACTTGGCTGCATGTCTGTCTGTAATTGATTTATATGCTAGTTATATGTAGTCAAGGTACACTAAAGGTGTAGTCTGCCTTTTGCTTCAAGATTTCAGCTGCAGTTTAACAGCCAAGAGCTGTAGAAAGAGATACTACTTTAACATGTTTAAAAAGTTAAGCAAGATTATTTTTTTAAAAAAGAAAAGCAATATAAACAGGCTTGAATTCTTATTCTGGATTACAGTTTGGACAATTCCTTTGCTAGAGGTGATGGCAAAAATTATTCCTTTTGCTGTGTTCGCATATGAACAAAATAGAAGGTTGGATCTGCAGCTTCTGTAAAAGGATGCAGATCTACTGTCAGATCCTCTGTTTGCAGGAGTCTGCACGATTTGTTGGAGTCAGCAGAGGGTACTCAGATTTTTGTCTGGTGGACAGAAAGTTTGACCAATAAGAGATGCTTAACAGAAATAAAATCCCACTGAATGTGGATTTTACAAGTAATTATGTTATTTGATTACTTCACTCATTTCAATGTTGAATTCTCCTTAACCAATGACAAAGATTTGAGAAGGGGTAGTGAAGATGAGTGTGCTCTTTCAGAGCATCCATCTGTTGTAACTCCATCTGCTTATCTTCCTGTTCTGAGTGTTCTACCTAGGGAGCAAAACCAGAACAGGTCAGAAAAGTAGTTTCCCACCACCTTAGGCTAAAACCATGACAACTGGCCTAAAAGCTTAGGGACCCAGCAATCAAGAAAGTATATAGTAAAATAGCCCATCCGTAAAAGTATGTCAAGCCATCAGTTTACACTTCCCCTTAGCATTGCACCATTAAACCAATGTTAATTGAAGGATGTCAAGTTAGCATTTAGTTTAGTCAAACCTAGTAGAAAGCTTACTATTTCCGGAGGTTCTTAGGAGGACCTGCAGGAGAGAGAGGGGAACTTGTACAAGCTGATGTAGGGGATGCAGGCATAACCAAATGCTTTGCTGGGAACTGTGCATGCTGCTGCCTTCTTACAACAGTTGTTAAGAAACTTACAGTGTCTATGCTGCTGCTCCTCTCCTACTGAGCTTAAAGACTGTGCATCTGTACTGTGCAATCTATCTACAGAGATGCAAGGTGGTGGGACTTGGGGGAACAGGTGGCTGTGCTCTCATTGATGCCTAGAAGGAGATTTTGTATAACCAATGATCATGTTGATGGGAGTTTACACATATCACCTTACACATCAATGGGAGAAGAGGCCATAAGCTGTTTAGGACTTCTGTTTCTTGCATGTAACAATTCTTTCAGTGGAAATGGCAATTCTGTATTGTCCAAGAATGCACAAAAATAAAACCATAATTTTGTCAATAATGAGCCGATAACTGGCTTCCAGGAGGCAGACTCACTAGCAGAAATTTTCTTCAAGTCAAGAGAAGCTTTGTTACTGAATCTGGGGTTGCAAGAACACAGGCTGTATTAATGCATCATGTTGACAATGTTTAATTAATACTGATATGCAGCATGTCTGCTTCTTACAAAATGACCATTTTTGTGCATCCCTGGTACTTTTCAAAGAAAAGACATTTTATACAGAATTGCAATACCACTTTAATACTACTATGCAAGGAAAAAAAAATGAGGTTTTGCTATTTTTATTCAGTTGTTTGGTTTTTTCTTTCAGTTTAGAAGCTTTATGCTTTTAAAGCAGTTATGACTTTACTATGTTAAAGATACAGTATCCTTTTCCACTTGGCCATTGCATCCCTCCAGCACTTCATACATAGAATAATAGTTTTGTAGTCCAGGTTTTCCCTTGGAAATCTCAACAGTAACATGATCTGACCATTTATGACTGTAGTATATTTGTATTTGGAGCTTCTCTGAAAGCACAGCAAGAACTTGGGGAGCCTCCCTGCACTGTAACAAATGATAAGGGACTTTCTGGTTAAAACTAATTTAAACCAGTGTAAGTTGCAGTCATAGCAAACTCTTAAGTGTTGGTCACATACTACTTAAAATACAAAGAGCTGCTGTTGCTTAAGTCCCAGTCGTTTATAATAAGGCTATGTAGCCTAACAAGCTATGCTGCCAACATTAATTTTATTGGCAAATAAATTGATTTAAAATAAGCCTGAAACATAAATCTGTGTTTCCATCTTACTTAACTTTTGTAGCGTATCTAGTTTCATATGGTAGTAAGAGCTGAAAAGGTCTCTAAGCATTAGTTTTAATTTAGATGACATTCAAAATTTAAACATTATAAAAAAAGACTAGTAAATTTATATGCCAGCAAGTTTATTGATTGCAGATGTTCAGATACTTATAAATGGGTGTAATTTTAATTACTCTCAAATTAGCATCCAGATGCTAACCCTTTATGTTTGCTCTGCGGAGACGCAGCATTAAAAATATATACCTATATTTAAGTGAAAGGATACTGTCTCTTTAAGAAAAGCATTTATGTTCTGTTGATGGAAACATTGAACCTAAACCTTGAAACATGAGCATTTTTACAACTATGTACCATATGAAACATGATGTAGCTCTTTGTTTGATTGAATAAGAATAGCATCACGTCATTACATTTAATTACTCCTATGTATCAGAATGTGTTTGTTAAATCTCATAATGAAATACTGTTGTAAGGTATTTCCATTTTTAAATGTGTACCAGAATTTTTTTTTATTTCAGAAAAGCTCTGAATGTTGAATGTGTGTAAGTCTCCAGGAATGTAACAAGTTGATAAAAACCCCAGCCAAGCCCATCCTCCTTACAGGAAAAAAAAAAGCTGGACTTTCTTTTTTTGGATATTTGTTTTGCAGCTTTCTACGTCTTAAGGCAGAGAATAGCCAGCCTAAGGTGCCAGCCCAAAGGTTAGCTGAACATATTTCTTGAAATAATTTTGGTAAGGTTATGACTTATGAGTTATGGCCTCTAAGTCGTAAGTTTACATGAACACTATAATACTGTGACAAGAAGATGTAGATGCTCTATTTTTTTAAAAAAATATTTATTTATTTTTAACATTTGATCTGGGGAAGATGAGGGGGGAAGGAAATTAACAGGGCTGTTTTATCCGTCACCTATCTGATGAGATATGTATTTTCTAAACTATTGCACTTTTCCCTTTTCATTCTTTTCCATTTTCTTTATTTTACCCTCAAGCTCTGGGAAATATTTTTTCCTTTCTGCAAATTGTTTATACTCCCAGCATCATATTTACAAGCTGTCAGACCTAGGAGGCCTAATTTGCTTTCACAGCATTGAATTGTGTGCAGTGGGAGGTTAGTTTGGGATGGCTGAAGCGGTTATTGCCCCCCGTTGCCTGCTTTGCACCTCCACTACAGGTTGTCATTCCCACAACAGGGAAACTTTACAGCCCTTGGTCTACAGCAGTGTGCAACCTGGCATGTTACGAGTGAAATGAAATCAACGCTGGCTTTCATTGGTACCCAGGGCGGTAGTCTGCTGGTGCTTAGGAATTGCTGTGTCTTGTTTACCTATCCCTGTGGCGGGAGTAACAGTCTTTAGAAAGAGGGGCAAAGCAATCAGGTGTTCATCTGTCCCTGAAAGTCAGCTTTGTTACTGTGATGCAGACGTTACTCTGCTGAAACCAGTGGGCGTTATATTCTAATAAATAAAATAGCAATAGTATCCAGTTTGTTTTCTGCCACCACACCTAGAGACATCATAGTCTGCTTGTGCCTGCTGGAATTCAGTACACACAGAAAGACTCAGGTAACAACAGGCATTTGAGATGATAGAGCACCATTCTTTAAGCAATTACGAGCCACTTGAAATGCAAACATGGAAAGATTGACAAAACCTGAAATAATTCTTGCCTTTCTAATTTTGCATTGTGCTAGATCAAATTTTTACTGATTTTTAAAAAGACTATTTAAGTGCATAAACATTAGATTAACTTTCACTGACTTCATTAAATCCTGTTGATTTCAGTGTTACCCATGCTTAAGTTATGCATACTTTTAAGTGCTGTTCTGAATAGCAAGGCATTCATGAACCAGGGTCTGGATTTGTCCATGCAGTTTAGAAAAACATTTGGCAGCAGTCATAGCCAAGCAAAGAATTCACTGCAATCAACAGCCCACACTGGTTGCAGTTTGTCATGTTAATGTGCTGTTACCAGAATCATATGTGCAAACTGAGTAACTGATTTACCCAGGCAAATGTAGTAGTTGTGCATGAAAAATTAGGAGCCGCTTACTTAATGGACCAGTATGTTTTAGATAGAAGCTTAAGCATGCGTTTTGACATTTTTTATCATGAATGTTACAAATAAGCGCAAGTAATTTGTGAAAAAATATTCAGGCATTAGATACTACTGTTTTATCTGATATTATCAGTCTCTAGTTACAGAAGTTGATCAAGGACCCTTATTATTTTTCAAAAAGCACAGGAATGTTTTGCCTATGAAATGATCTGAAAATTAATACCCAGTTGCCCTAGTCAGGCTTATGAAGTTCTGCAGCCATATGTTTTGACTGCTGGTACACTTATTTGGGAAGCAAAGTTATTTTTTCAGAAGTAATTCTGTACTGTGAGTTATGGGTATGACATGTTTTTAACACCTGCTGGTAACTGTGTGGCAGGTTAAGCTTTATGCATTTTCCTGTGTTTGTATGTAGTTGAGAAAAAAAGAAATATGTAACTCTGAAAGAGCCGCAGTGATTTATTTTACAAATTAGCTCATACCTTTGGGATCCTAGATTGAAATTACCGTGAATAAGGGAGATTTATTTTTCTTAGTGTGTCCTTATGCAATTGCATAATTTGCAAAGAATTGCAAAAAGTAAATAGAGGCAGACATGAGCTGAAGCTGGCTATGAGGAGGAGAAGTATAGAACTTGAGGTTGTAGTCTGTTAGCACCACAAGAAAAAGCAAGCCAGTTTCAGATGAAGGATTAAGTTTAGAGGAAATCTTGGTTCACCAACATGCAAGTCCTGTTATAAAGTTGGCACCGGGGGAACATAAGTAGCGATTTTAAGATTGGAAGCCTGTTCTGCATTCAGCAGTGTAAGAGGATCCAATAAAGGTTTGTGAAGCTGAATAGTATGTAATCATCTCTAGGCTGATGCACAAATTACTTTCTGTGTTTTTGCAAACTGAATTTTAAGGAGCTGGGATTTAGAGTCAGAATAAATAAGGGGCTATGTGTTATTTGGGAAGACAGGACAGAAACAAGGCTGTTCAGGCAGATGGTCAACATAATTTCTTTCAGATGCAGGTATTATGAGTATTTTTAGACTTCAGAGAGGTGAAAATAGAAGTTCAAGGACAGGTTGGACATCTGCAGTCTGGCATTTTGAGGCAGATTTTTGTTGAGAGATGCAGAAAGAGCAATTAAAGACTTTGAGGGCAACTTCTGTCAATGAAACCATCTTGTGGGCATCATGCATGAAAGAAAATGCAAGGAATAAGAAATAAGTATTAAGGAACAGAAATTAAGAGGCAAAACAGAGAAAAAGAATTTAAGAATTATGCACAGAATTCTACTCAAGGCTGTTTAGATTGAAACTTTGGAAAACCAAGGAAGAATTAAACTGGTAGTGATACTCCACGAAGAAAGGTCAGGGATTTCCATTGCTAGCCACAAAGAGGAGTAGTTAGGCAAGTAGGAACCAGGCAGTGCAACTGTCTGGTTAGGATTCCACCGAACAGTATTTGGTAATAAAAAACCAAATCATTAACATTAAAATTCTATATGAGAAGAAATAGGGGGGACAGCATGTGGTAATCATCCATACCCTCAAAAGGTGGGCGGTGTAGAGCAGAGGAACTGACAAAACCTGGAGGGGACTTCCAAAGCACTTCTGAGGCAACTGTGTGCAGGGAGAAAAACACAGATTAAAATTACCCCCCCCCAACATTATAGACCCCTAATGAATTGATTGTGTTTTTCATTTATAGTATTTATGCAACAATTAAAAAATAATAATTCAGAATGATTAAGTCATGCTCAGACACTACCAGTAGCTAATAGTAGCTGGGAAGATTGGTGGCTTCTGGCTTTTATGTGAGCATAACATGCGCTAACAGTACATGCATTTCACCAGAAATTCTTTCTCCCTCTTGCTCACACTTGAAAAAAGTTCCCAACCCTAAACCCAAGCCACTCATTCATGTTTCAATTCCTTGTGTTATTTTTACAGAAAGTTTAATTTGTCCTGAAGTTTAATTGAAACTTAAAATGTGGTATTTATCACCTTATTTTGGAGGAAAAGGTAGTTCTTGCCAACCTTTAAAATAGGTACTGTTAGATTTATGGCCAAATAAAAGGCTTTAGGATACCTTCTTGACTCCATTGAAGTTGGTGAGAACTGAGACAGAGTAAGTCTTCACATCTGGCCCAAAAAAAGAATGAAAGATGATCAAGCTGCAAGGAATAATCATGAGACCAGAGTTTATTTACTGATATCTCTTTTATATATTAGGCAACAAAATGAAATGGAAAGTTTAATTGTAGTTTTATTCTATGGCCTAGATAAATAATCAGCAATTGGCTAAAGATGAAAATAGCTGTGTTTAGGAGATTTATTTCTGTCTCAGTCCACATTACTATGTGATGGGAGTGCCAGTTTAAATGCTTTCAAGAGAGGAATTTTTTGAGAAATGGTAGGTCATTGTTGATACTGATTCAATAATGAGTTAGCAATCTTTTTTTAGTGGCGCTTTTCTTATACAAGTGTACTTCTATATTCTTTTTAAACAAGCACCATTATAAAGAGTAGGAAGTTTTTGCTTCTCTTTGGCAACCTTTTCAGACTCTTACCTTCTGGCCTTCATTGCCTTGAATGTGTAAGAGAGTGACTTTCTCAGCCTGGTGTAACTCTCCACTGTCTACATTTCCTTCTTGCGTAGCAGACTGAAGTCCATGCACATGACTTCAGTCATTGTAAATGTGAGTTGATCAGAGGGAAATGGTGTTGTGTTGGTTCTTGTGGTCAGTTGTGGGGAAATTTTCAATTGTCAAGATGCAATGAATATTAGTTAGGAGGCTTTATTCTCTACTACTTATGAGTCTATGTTAAAAAAATGGGTAAGCTCTATGTGTTTGTGTGTGGGAAGAGCAACTGAAATATTCTGTCCCTATCTCTATCCCCATCCCATCCTATCCTATCCAGAATTTTGTAAGAGATTGAGTAGAAAATTCAAAGAAAAAACCCAGTTACATCAGCATACATAGTGTATGCCTAGACTCATACCAAACAACTGAAATAATTGTCTTCTGTTAAAAGAAATGCTGAAAGTCAGGCTCAAGTTAATTTTTATACCTGAATCTCACTGTTGGCCACGTTCAAATGGAGCCCTTTGGGAGTCAGTGAGTATGTATGTGCTGCTGTTCAGGGGCAGCTCCTCCTCTGGAGAAGGGAGTATTGGCAGGGTGCAGATGGCAGAGCCTGAGCCATGACACCCCCCTGGGCCTGGTGACTCTGGTAGAGGTTGGAGCAAAGGGCGTGTAGATGTTGCTGGTGGAACCCCAGCCAGGTGTGCAGGCTGGACTGGACACCGTCTCTTTCTTATGTCCTGAGCACTGTGCAAATCCTGTTTGAGTGAATGGGAGGATGTACGAGTTGCTTGGTGAAGTTGGCTTGATTCCCGATCGGAAATGCTGTGGGATGTGTCAGTGGTGTTGGCAGAGCTACAGATGTTGCTAAGCTTACTGCAAAGTGCTTCTCTTGTGTATAGAAATTCTTCACTTGTAACGTTGTATTGAATTTCAGTAGCTGTGTATAAAGAAGATGCATAATACTTAAGTAGCCAAAGTGCACAGAATAAACAGGATTTCTTCAAGTACAGTGTTTGGCAGCAAACATAGGTTTCAAATACCTGTTTAATGAGTAGAAAAGTAATGGATAGTGGTTTGCTAATCATTAGGAAACTGTCCTTGTGGTAGTAGAGACTCTTGAGCTGTAGACTGCTGTGAAGCTGAGATGTCCTTTAAGTGAGACTTTTCAAAACAAGAGAGATATCTGTCATGTGACTTAAGTGGATTTCTTAATTATATCTTGAGACTAGGAGGTAGACGAGAACAGGAATTACCCACCTGGATGTCATACAAGATATTAAATACTGCATCATATGGTGCTGAGTTTACTGAGATGTTTTGGACTAGATGGTCTCTTGAAGATCCCATAGATCCAATTGCTAGATTTAATAACATGGCCTGTTACATGTTTCATATCTGTAGACCACTGTATATTATTTGTTTAAACATATGCTAATACATGATTTTTGTTCTGATATGATATCTGACCTACTTGGTTAACAGAGAATTAAGCAAAACATCTGATTCCTAATACAAATGTATTTGACCTTCTGAATTAGAGGAACATTTTCATTTCTAAATGAAATGAACATTTCATTACCAAATTTTATAAGGCTTTTCATCTTTAAGTATGAGATGGTTTCTTCCTCTATCTGAGTTGCTGCTAATTTATAATCTGCAATTGAGGGAATGTCCAAGACTTTTAAAAACTCAGCTAAACTAACATAGCCACAGGTTCAGTTTCTCAACTGTAACACTTCGCAGCAAGTTGATGTCATGATGCTTTGTGTTTTTTAAAGAATAATTATTATGTAACTGAATCCCACTCCACAATATGGATTTTCTTGAGAGTGCCATTGAAGTTTCATGGAAGCTTTCAAAAACATATTTATAGTAATTTCTGTTTCTCTGCTGTAGTTTAGATCACAACTTTATCTTTTTGCCCAGTGACTTCAAAGTCATGATGTTGGTCGTCATAGTCTGTTTTGCCACCATCACCTCTAATTAGACTTGGGTCTATGATGTCAGGAATATGAGTCTCAGTGTCTAAATGAGCTTTTACACAAAGAGGATATTTTTTTTTTCTGTTTATGACCATAATGATTAAAAAAGAATTAATTGTTTTCAGGTACAATGTTCTAGAAGTTTTTCATGATGTATCAGTTGCTCTTCAGTCAAATCTCTCCATTACCCAAGGGCCTACTTTTTGAAACATACCTTTTAGTAGTCTAAGCAGTCCCTTTTCCTAACACTTCTGAACCTGAATCCCTTTTCTTTGTCTTTTGATAGTGTTTACTGGAAAAAAAAAATTTCATTAACTAGAAACATGTCTCTGTTGCCTTTTAAGATATTTCTTAAGACAGTTTTCATAAAGAGACTGTACCATCACGTTAGGAAGATCTGTCAAGAGCAGTGCTGTAGATGGAAAACAAAGTTTTATGTTCTCAGGGCATATCACTGGCCATATCTATACATATATAACATTTAAACAAAAAATGTTCTGATAATAAAGGGCAAATGAAGTCCTAAAACTGAAGCAAACTCTTTCTATGCTAACAACTGCTTCTGTGGATGCATTTGTGGGAATTGCCGATTTTGGATTATTTGAATCATATGGAAAAGATTTTAGAACATAAGAGATGTGTTTGCATAGTTCATCCACAACCAAAACTAATCTCTTGTGTCTGTTTCAATTTTGTTTAATTCAGCCCTGTTGAACATCTTGGCTAGAATGCAAGCTACATTTCTGAGTGCGTTCTGACAGATTTTTGTTAAAATATATCCTTAATACATCCAGTTTTATGATACAGCCTGTTGTCAGATTAATTAATATTACAGCTGGATCTTGTTAGTTACTCTGCAAATTCTGAAAGATACTGTTAGTTTAGAAAATAAACTTAAAGCCAGGGTAAATAGTAAATCCTGATTACAGGGTATTCAAGTTATGCCACCCTCTGATTTCTGTCTAATTTGTGTCCGTGTTGCTTAAACAGTAAGCTCACCAGAATTTTGCATCTGCATTTTGTCATATAATGATAAACTGTATTTTAAAGCATAGTAAATACTTCATTTTTCCAGTAGGTTGAAACAGTATGTTTAGTAATAGAAAGATGTTTCTAATAAAAAAGACTTGGAAATATTATTTAAAATTTTCAGCTGTGAAAGGGTTTCCAGAGTTATGCAGGATTTGTTACCCTCTGAGAATATTCCTGTTATGAAGTTAGCTAATCCTACATCAGTAAAACTACATTTGTGCATGAATTCTTATACTTCTTAAGAAGCAATTGTTTTATTATTGAAGTTTTTAAAGTTTGTTTTATGAATTTTATTTGTGTTATATTGAGAGTGATACCAAAAAAATGTCTTCCTAGATAGTATTTCTTTTAGCTCTGTATTTATACTCCATTTGGAGAATTAGAAATTACCTGGCAAATTTGGCTCTGTAAGCAGAATACACCGTAACTTCACATTCTGAGACTATATCTGTACCACAGGTTGGGTAATAAATGCTTAAAATTTTCTGAGTAGAATGACTTGGATGAGTGCAGTGATAAAGCAGCATATTACAGTTGATGTTGCTTTTGCTTTTACTCAGTCCTTTTTCCCTCCAAAAGAACAACATAAAAAGTAATTCTCATGCCAGAATCCAAATACCCAAAAGGGAGAGATTCAGGCAAAACATTGCTTAATAAGGGAGTAAAGAGTGTTACCTTATAGAGGAAAACGGTGAATGTGGGGATCTGTGCTACTGCTATGGCTTTGTTTGTCGCCTATGATATTGGAGTATGCATTTTCTGTATAGCTGTGGCATATTCCAGATTTACCAAATTTAATGACATGAATCGTAGTACATACATACATAGGGCAAGTGAAGGCCCATTGCCTACTTGCTGATTAGGTATTGAATGGGTTTAATATCGCAGAAACAGCACAGTGTAGTGTTGTGCAAAGACTACTGTTAAGTATCTCACTCTTCCTATATGTATTGGGGTGGTGGCTATTTTTGGAAGTGCGCCTGATCTTTGAACAGTGATATTTGAGGAATATAACGATGCTGAAGGGAAGTGCATAAATGGTACTATTTGTTAGGTTGTTGCCATGTTTCAAAGTAAAGCGCTGTCAGCCATGACTGAAGTGGAAGGATAATGAGTATTCCTCTATTTACAGCTATATGCCAGCCAGGATGCAAACATGGTGAATGTGTTGGGCCAAACAAGTGTAAGTGCCACCCAGGATACACTGGAAAAACCTGCAACCAAGGTAAGAAAGTGAAGTCCAAGTAAGATAATTTCTTCATGAAATCGACGAAGTATTGTTAATCCCTCTCTTGACAAATACTGTGTGTGTCACCTGCATTTATAGGGTAGTGAACTCATATACCAGGTCTGTTACTGCGTAGCTATTCTGATATTGGGACTGACGCTTGTAGAGAGAATGGTATCATCAGTGGGATAACACAGGGAAAAAATTGCTTTCATTGAGATGAAATCAGTGAGTTTAATATAAAGGATGCATTTACATGCTCTCCTGAATCTGAATCAAATTACTTTAATCTTGTGGTCAAGAATGTTATTTCATAAAGTCACAATTTTCAGATTTGGTTATTAATATAATATAATATAAATTATAATATAATAATTTAAAAAATATTCATGCATTCTCATTTTTGTGTTTCTAATCCTGAACTAGCTAGGTAGGAATAAATTTTAGTGCGTATGTAATAGTTGGAAATGTAAAGGTTTTCTTACTGAATTATCAATAGAGTTTCATTGTGCTATTTTTGCCAAAAATATCTCCAAACATGTAATGGTATAAAGATCATAGAGTATAAACAGAATTGTAGTACATGATTTATTAGATTTTGATGCCTAAGACATGTTCACATACAAAGATATCTCAGTAAGACGGTTTTCTTTTCCAGTTGTCTCAGCCTACAGAAAAAAATTCAAACATTTTCTGAGAGTGCTGAGAAAGTATGGTAGAAAACTGTGACATTCAGAACTATGTTGTTCAGAAATGTACCTTGATGTTTGCTAACCTTCTTTTGACATGTTGATTTTAGAGTGAATGATTTTATTTAAAAATAGATACGTATTTATTCTTAGATTTATTAATCCTTCCCAAACTGGTGTGGAAATGAAAGTTGTATTTATCAGTTCTGTTTTAAGCTTAGTTTATTCTGTCATCTCTCAGATTAGCCTGTCTCCTTTTTCCTTTACTCGGGCTGACATTTTAAAGGATGGGTTGTTACAATTTTATTATTCTACACCTGTTTTGGTCAGTCTGGAACTTTTTTAGAAAACAGTGCAGTGAGCTAACAGTTGTTATATGTATATGTAACAGTTTTTATTTGTACTAATACCTTTAACAATATCAAAAGAATGCTATGCAAATTGCTGGAGGCAGCAGTCTTAATCTCAACTATCTGCTTTCCACTAAATGCTAAGGAAGGAAAAAAAAAAAAGTGTTGATAAATGATTAAAAGAAGCATATTAGGCAGTATTGATCAAATGTTCTTGCATGGTATTGGTGGCAAAGTTGCCATGGCAGATGTGAGGTTTCCGAGGTGCCTGCTGACTGTGGTGTCCCAGATGTACACCAGTTCAGGTGACTACAGCCTATAGCTATTTTACTATATGGTGAGACCCCTGAGCTATTTCTGGGGTCAGGGTATGCGTTCTTCCCATCTGTTGGTTCCATGTTTAGGTGAGACTTGAAAGTGCACAGTGGATGCGGAGCCTGCTTCTGCTGGGAGAAAATACAAATTGCACAGGATGAGTGTGACTTGTGTTGTTATACCTTAATATAGCACCCGTCCTGTTCAGTCCATGAGCCATCTTTCTCATTTCTGTTGTAGAATCATAATTAGTAATAACAGAAAGTAATGGTGTTGGCAGAAGAAATGGTGGAGTTTGCCTGCAGAGGTGGAAGTCTTTCTAGGATGTATGATGATGCCTGGGTACTTGTCCTTTTCTAGTGGCACTGCAGCTGCTGTGGCAATCCAGACCTTGCTTTAGGTCACTCAGAAGTTAGGATTAGCTGTTACTTCTTTTAAGTATGTTGCTATCATCAGCAATTCAATTGCAGTGACTTTGCTCGAGAGCTAACCATGTGCTCTCCCTACAGCATTCAAATCTCCTGAGCAGCTTTAGTGTTTCTCTTCTAGGTATTTGATCCCAGTTTTAGAGCTGTAACCAGTTAAGAAAAAGCTAAGCAATGTGAAAGAAAATACCCCGTGACACCTCTCTAATTTATAGTGATAATAACAGAACTAATACTTATTTCGAAATGTGTTCATCAGAAAATTGATCTGTTCTTCAATAAGGTCTTTGTTCACAGACGAATACAAATGGTTGAAAACTTGTGATTTTTGCTAGTAATTTAAGGCATATGCAGGTTAACTTCATGTGGCTGGGAAAGGTTTTCTTCCTGCAAAGAACGTAAGGCTGCTCTTCTGTAACTTGCTATCTTCTAACCTTGTTTGTTCCAGGAACGTGATGCAAAGTTTTCTACTTTCTCTTTCTAATACAATTCTTGCCAGCACTTTATTTATATATATATATATATATATATATATATATATGTGTATTTTAATTTTTTTAAAATGATGAAGTAATGCATATTACAAAGATCTGGTAATTTCATTTTTACTATGCCTTCTTCCCATCCTGTGAAGATGAGCAGCCATATACAAGTCCACCTGGTCAGAGCAGTGAAGCACTTCTCTTCCTCCCTCTGGATCATCATGCAAGAAATATAGCATCAAGGGGTGAGATGGACCTGTATTTCAGGTGGCGTGCTCCTTCTACCTGCACGGCTTGAAACAGTAATACAGTTTCTTGCAAAGGGGTTGGAGGGTAATAGATGATGGCTGCAATGCAGAACCTGAACCTGCAGTGTCATTAGCATGCAGAGCAAATAAATTATTGCATTTCCTTGATGCTGTGCACCTTTATTCTGAAGAGACTTGACTCTCCACCATACTTATGATTACAACTTGCTTTTGTTACTTTCCTCTGCTCTTCTTTCAGGGCCTGCACTTTGTTTCTGAATTCCCTTTTAAAGTGAGAGTGATAGGAATTGTTTATCAGGTTAGATAAAGACAAAACTGTGATTTACATAAAACTGGAAGTTGAAGAAAATGAGGACTGTTAACTTCTTCATTTGGCAGCTGTTCATTAATCGGACTAAGTGATGTGAAGAAAACTCTCTTAGGGTGATATAAATCTCCGGTCATAAGTTTGACATGATAGTGTGATGATGATAGTTGCTGGAAATGAAAGCTGATCTACTGTTTTTTTCATTTAGTTTCTGATCCCTGGTCTACTCTTTTCAAAATCTGAGTAAATTTGGTATTGAATATTTGACTTTTTGTATTGCCTGATCCAAGTTAGATAATAGGCAGAAAAGGCAGAAAAGGTGTGAGTGATGTTTTCTACAGAAGCTAAATAAATACCAGTGTATTGCATCTTCCTAGGAGTTAGTGCCCCATTGTTAATTGTGCCCTAAAGTCAGTTATTACCCAAGATCTTGTGTGGTGCCACGCAGTAGTCAAAGAAGTCACATCCAGATTTGTCAGCATAGCACTCTTGTCATTCCCTTACATTCACATTTTCATTTCATTTCTTTAAAAATAAAATACTTGTGCTCAGCAGCCTGTGCTTATGTTACAGACCTGCTTTCCATCATGCCCAGAACTGTCAGTCTGCTTTTATGTACAGTGCTGTCTCATGTTATTTTGAAATTAAGAATACTGTTTTTTGTGACTGTACAATTGTAGGCAACATGGGAATTTAAGTGGCTGAACAGTGAAATTCTCAAGTGCAGGACAGTGAGTGGACATTCCTGCAAAGAGATTAAAGGGATTTGTTAAACTTTTTAATAGTGTTGGGCTTTATATTTTTAATTCCAGTGTGAGATTACAAGTGACTAAAAGAAACGATACTTTATTAGAAAGAAAAACAATGTAAGATTGTTATTTTTATTACTCCTTGAGTTTAGCTGTTTTCTTATTTCCTCTTCTGATTCATGGACATTTATACTGCTTGAAATACACAACTGATAAGTAACCAGCATTTGTTCAAGAGGGTATGTTGCTGTGGCTGATTTTTTGACTGCTAACATTAGCCTGAACCTGTTCTTGAAAAAATAGACTTAACACACACAAAAAGATCAAGTGTATAAATGGCAGGAGTGTTTCAGCACTACCTGAGTCCATGTCCAGTACATCTGGACTCTTCTTAGAGAACCACGCTGTTACAGATTATGGGTGCGTGGAGGTGGCTCGAGAGAGCTGTCAGCATCTTCATACAGGTCTTTACATAGAACCAGTAGGACCTGCCAGTAACCCTACAGTGTGCCTCCTAGGAAATGAATGGTGCTTGTCGTGCAGTTTCCAAGTGTGTGCTCATCTTCACTAGTGAAAAGAAGTTGCATTGTGGGGAAGATAAGATGGGCTGTGAGCAGTATGCTCTAACACACCTAACCTCTTTGCAGGCTGACTTCTCTCTTAAGCAGCCACACCACTGCCAGTACCTGTTTTGCTAAACAGTAGCATTCAGTCTGACTCTGCAAGGTTAAAAACATCTTTCTCTCAGTAGTTAATTTCCAAGGCAAAAGTGAAAACCCATGACACATGAGGTTTGGGCTTAAGTGGAGTTGTGCTAACAGCCTGGTTTTGCTGCCTTGTGACCTTAGCTTTCTGTTACATCAGTCAAGGTTAAAAAATTTTACCTTTATCAATGCACAGCCATTTTACTTTCGGGATGTTTTTTAAAGCTGTCAATCAAAACCTGATATTGACAGCATTTGTTCACAGGCAGAAATAGAATGAAGACAGTAGAAATAATTCAGTAAAAATTCCACAAATGCAAAGCATGTCGTGATATCTTAATACAGTTGATTGCACCTACTTTTTAAGATCAGGTTATTCTTAGCATATGTTACTAATAGTGTCTATTTGTCAATATTAGAGCTTTCATTTCTGTACTAAGAATATTTTTTACCAAATGGTGGTGTAGTATTCAGAGTCCTTAGAGAAAGATCCAATTATTTAAAGCTCATAATGTAATCTACTTTATGCAAGATGGTAAATTGAGAACAGTCATAAATTCTTACTGTTTTCAACTTTGAATCTGTGGTTGTAGCTCTGGAAATAAATGGAAGACAGTTCTTAAGGGTAAAGTCTTCAGGAGTATCTGAATTTAGGAGCTGAAGCGCAGTGGGATGTAAGCACTAGAAGTTAACACAGGCACTGTTAAAATCCTGCCCTGTCAGCTTAATTTCATCCTTACCTTTCTTCATTAGGAGCCTACTTCTAATTAAGTATTTTATACTTAGCTCTGTCGTGCATTTATTTTGTAAAGTGATGCTTTTTGTACAAAAGAGGAAGAATGCAAATATTTTAGACTTAAGGAAGTTTTCTTTCTCTTCAAAATGACTGTTATCCATAAATCTCAGAATAGTCAATAGTGTGGACTCTGTGGGGATACTTTTATGAATTGAAGTTAAACTCTAACAGAGTTTTTGAATTTAACAATGACTTTTTTAACAGATGTGTTGCATGTGTAATGAATAGGTTAATGTAGCAATAATGTCTGTCAGGAGCTGCCTAATTGTAGTAAGTTTTACAGAAGAAAGACAAAAGCAGCTTTTTGTGCTGGCCGGAGAAGTTTGCCTCCCAAAATGCGAGCTTTCACCTGTTTATTACTGATCATTTTTGTACAAAAGTGGGTTTTTTTACGCAAAGATTTTCACAGTGAAAACTTGCCCTTCCCCTCTAGCGTAATCATCTGCTGCTTTTCCATCTGACCTGTGAGGTACTAGATAAATAGTCACAACTCTTAGCTGAAGATCTCTCTTTTTCAGTAGAAAATGTACATCTCTTCTACAGCTGTTTCTCTCAGACCCAGCAGGTAGATTCTTGTGATTGTGGCATTTGGTGCATGCTGGGAAAAGTATTTTCTAGCAACTCCAGAAATGTTTTCAGACTTCCAAAGAGTAGGAGTTGAACAGGGATGCTCTTTCTGCAACGTGTGATCTGTAGGGAGACTGTGGAGATGGTCATCACTCCTTGTTTGTCAGGCACAGGTCCAGCTCTTACTTTAACAACTCCTCTCTGAAGTCCTGCCTACACTCACCTGGTCTTCCTCACAGCTCTAGGAGCAAATGTTTCCCTTCAGTCTTACTAGAAACATCTTGTTGAGCCTTCTGCAGGAAGAAAGGGAAAATCATGTCCCTTACCACTACCCTCTTATCCTTAAACCTGCTGATCTTCCCAAGGCCTTGGAAAATGAAGTTAAAAAAAAAAGTCATACCTGTCAGTTAGGGGAAGTGTTGTGGGGAGGGGCAAATACCTGTCTGCATGATGCTTGCTCTCCCTTGACCCTATGAAGATGAAAACAAAGTAGGTCAGAAGACAACAGATGTAATGATACACATAAACACTGTTCAGAATTACTGACTTCATTCTAACCAGAGCTATATTTGTCTTTCTGTTTAAATGTCTTAACTCTGAGTCTTTATATCTAGTTCATAGAAAGCTTGTGTCATCTCAGCTGGCATTTTATAAAGTGGCTACTGTGTTCATGTGTCTACCACATGGTAGGAGCCCCAAGGCTTAGCTTTCTGCTACATGAATTAGGGAGTGACTTTTGATGAGAATGCGCTTAGTGGTGGAGACGGCTTTTTGAAAAGTTCCTGGAAATAACAGTGACTTTCTTACTGTAACAGACCTCCAGACAGCATTATGCAATATTAGAGATAAGGGTCAGTAACTCAGTTGTTTAAGTACTTGCTGGCTGGATTTGTGAATAGATTTATTATTTTCACCTTTATTGCATCTTTACTCATAAGTACACAAATAACTAAGTAACAAATTATTCTGGTTTACTCAGATAAAACCAACAGACATTCTTGGAACAGAATTCTGAAGGAAATGCTCACTAAATCTTTTCTTCCTGTTAGAAGCCTTTTCTACTAATATGAAAATTGTATGCTGAATATTTTCAGTAAGTCATGAATTCTGTATTAAATTGTAAATCTGAAATAGTAGCCTTCATGGATAGTCCTTTGCAAATATCATCTTTTTTTTTTTTTCAGTATGTTCTAGATAGTAAGGAATATGTTTTTTCTGTGAGATTGTTTAAAGTATGTTAGCCTCAGCTTTCCTGCCTTCCTCTGCGACTAATATTGAAGCATGATAGTGAATCACTGAATCAGTATCAGAATTGCTGATAGTGATTGCAGCAGTGACTTTAGCTTTCTCCTTTCTCCTCCTCCTCCAGAGTTCTGGCTGGTCCTGGACATGATATCAATGTGAATAGGGGCAAGATGTGGGCAGCCTGAGCTTGTGCATTCCCTAGTGAAACTTCTGTTGGCAATTAATCTAATGCTAATACTATCATTTCTGAACAGATATCTGTGAAACAGAAGAAAATATGCCACTTGGCTGGAAGGGTGAACAGTGCTTCATGCAGGATGTTCTAGACACTTGCTATCAGCTGCACTGCGTATAAAAAAAACAATTGCCATATTTTTCCTTCTTCCTCCAGGAACTTGAGCTAGTAGTTTTTTCACACATACTTTGTATATTTTTTTTCCCACCAACTTTCCTTGTACCCTTCTTTTCAGACCTAAATGAGTGTGGACTAAAGCCACGGCCGTGCAAACACCGATGTATGAATACCTACGGCAGCTACAAGTGCTACTGTCTGAATGGCTACATGCTTATGCCAGATGGAACGTGCTCAAGTATGGCAAGGCTTGTTGCTTTCTGTTTTCAAACTCCTCAAGATCCCTGCTTGGGTTTCCCTGGGAAGCTTCTATGAAATGAAGATGAGTCCCAAAGTAAAAGATTAATCGTGCTGGAAATGAGGCAGTTGCACACGATGAGCTTCTTTCATCTAATGAAATTAGGCTGAACAAAACAAGAGCAAATATTTTGGGTTTTATTAGTTTTATTACACATTTCCTTAGAAGCATTCTTCAGTGCTGTAAATCACTGTTAATTGGCCTTCAAGGACAAGTGCTTGCAGTTTTCATTGCAGCAAGACACCTGCAGTTCTGCTGTGTTACATCTTTATGAATGTAAAATCATTAAAGCTGCAGATGTTGGTTGTTTGACTGGTATAAAATTGTACTGTCATCTCTGTGGAGATCAGGTTCCTGCTTGCTCCCATAAAAGTGGATATTTAGAGTGTCTGGACAGAGAAAAGGGGAGAGAAATTACCTTTAATTAAAGATGTTCCTATTTTAAAATGGCAGTACTGTCCAGGAAGGTTTGTAGTACATACTGGGCTTTATATTCCTCATGGAGGCTGCATTCCATGACACAACTTGCTACAATTGTAGTGGGTTTCTTTTTTTCCTTTTTTTTTTTTCTTTAGAGATGCAATTTGTGGAAAGAAAAAATTTACTGCAAATGCATTTGCTCTTTAAAGCCTGAATGGATACCTGTCAAATTCAACAAGCATTTTTCCACTTCTGTCATAATTACATGATGTCTTAATTCTCCAAAGTTTTTAGTCATTTTCTGGTACTGATCAGAGTACTTATCTAAATATGTTCAATTATTTTTCCCTAGATGCCCTTTCTTGCTCGATGGCAAACTGTCAGTATGGCTGTGATGTCCTGAAAGGGGAAGTACGCTGCCGCTGTCCTTCTCCTGGACTGCAGCTAGGGCCTGATGGCAGGACTTGCATAGGTAGGTGATCAAATGTAAATTTAATTTTTTTCTCCAAAATGATTTTATCATTCCACTGAATGCCATTCAAGAGAGTTTATCAGTTGTATTTAGAACACATTATACATGAAGTTTAAAGATAGTTCTAAAGAGAACTGGGATAGGCACATTGCTCAAGTGCTCTCAGGTGATCTGTCAGAAATCACTACTGTTTTCCTCCATTCCTGCAAGTTTCACTGACTGCTTAAAACTCACACAGGCTGCTTTGACATCCCAGTCCTTGGCCCTTACACTGCTGTTACTGGGGCATTTTAAACTATTGCTAATAGAGAATCCACAGTACCTGCTTGCATTAAAAAAAAAAAAAAAAGAAATGGGGAGGTCAGCTCTCCCTCATACTCAGCAAGATGGTGCCTAGTCTCAGAGAGAAGAGGGTTAAATTAATGGAAATTATTAGGACAAGTTGAAGGTCTGTGCATGCTCCCAATATTAATGGGATTGAAGCTACTGTCTGTCTTCCATACTGTGAAAACTCCAGATTAAAATAAACTCAGGAATTCAGACTGTGTAAAAGTGATTTTGTTCCCACATTCGTAAACATGGAAGAGTGTTTATGGTTAATCAGACTGTATTGTGTCATAATCTACTGTGGTCTGAAGAACAGCGTGACATGTGATTTCATTAGTCATTAACTATACATCCTGAGTGGATATGATGCTCCAGTGGTTTTATTATTTATATCCAACGCAGTGCTACAGTTCCATAACCGGTAATAATACTTGCCCTGAAAGAAAGTAAGAGAATGTGGGTGTCCTAAACATCTATTTGTGCATTATGGCTGTCCACAGGGAAGGTGGTTCTCCAAGTTGCTGACCCATGTTGACCAGCAATTTGTTGGCAGAGCAAGAGACAGATTCTAGATCTTCTGATGTGAGAAGCAGGTTCAGCTCTAAGTCAGAGGCTTTCTCAAGTGCATGATTGGCATGTTTATGTATGCAAAAGAATGGGTAGAACAGGAGAAAAAAAACCCCACCATTGTCACATGCTGAAGGTATTGAATTGTGACTAATCACACTGTGGACATTGTGGCAGGCAGAAGTCTTTGGAAGAGACTTGTTCTGTGCTCTAGTAAGCTGAGTGATTCTAAGTATAAATTCAGGAAATTATACCAAGTAAAGAAATTTGCTAGAAAAAGACTTGAAAGATTCTCCTAGTGTGCATTTTTATATTCAGGCAGACTTCATACTCTGAAATAACAAAGGTGCACTTTTAATGATGAAGACTAGCACTCAAGCCAATTAATTATATGAGGCTCTTCCAGTTCTTTGGTGTAGTTTTCAAAAAAACACCTTTTCCCCAGAAAGGTGAAGAACTATGTACCCATATTTCAGTTGAGTGTGCATCATACAGATTGATCTCATAACCTATTTTAAAAATTTTCCACAAAAATTTCAGAGCAGTCTTCTACAATACAGAGAAAATAGTCACAGCAAGAGATGTCTGTCCTTCATGGGTCATAACATGATCTACTCCCCTTTTTTGGTAAGAAGTGATTGTGACATGCACCCTTTTTTTGTTATTTCTCTTATCAAGTTTGAGTTGTACTAAAACCAGTAAATACCTCCACAAATTGAAGCTATCTGGAACTAAGACTGTGCATTTTCCTCACGTATGTACAAGCCCATTGCTGTTGGGGAGGTGGTCAGCTCCAGTGAGGGTCTGGGTATTGCTGCAGTACAAAGAGAAATGTAGATGATGGTAAAAATATTGAAGCGTACATTGGCTGCAGCTCATGAAATCCTTGTTTGAGGAGAGTTTGAAAGACAGCTGGGAATGTAATGTTTATTTTTAGCACAGGTGGAAATTCCTCTAGGCATTATTCTATTCTTAGTTTAACTCATGCTGATCATTCTTTCATTAAAATGTTCCTTCCAGACAATCATTAAAGAGCCACCAAACAATTTGGTTGTGAAGGCAAATCATACAAACTAAATAATAACAAATTGAAAAGTAATTCACCAAAGTATGCAGTAAAAATATGGATTATTTGACAAATTAATTAATTAATCTTGAATCAGTAAATCAATCAGTGTTGCTAGTTTTTCAAATTGGGATTTTCATTTAATGAAATTAGCAGTATACAGATTTCAGCTTCAGAAAATCTGATTGATTCAGAAAATCAATTTGAGGACTGAAAATAATTATTTTCACTGTAAAATAAATTCTTTCTTCCTGTTTTGGTTGTGCATAGAAACCTGTAAATATGGCCTTGTAAACTTAAAAAATCATCTTGTTTTGAAATCAGTCTCGTAGTTGTTTAGTGGTTGAGTTGGTAATATGGTCATACTTAGAGCAGGAGACAGCAAGACTGAAATTCGAAGACTGACTGTCACAGCGTTAGGTGCTGTCTGTATTATGTGCCTTTGGAGCAGCTCCCTGGTGCTAAGTCTGGGCATGCACCTCCATGGCAGACCAGGCTGAGGGGAGAATACAGATCACCCTTTCACACCTAGTTTTCAGAGGAAGCAGGCCCGAGCCACAGCATGTTGCAGCGGGCAAAGGGAAACAGCCTTACTCCACTTGGGCCCAGGTGTGAATTGGCTCAGGTATGTGGACTTGAAAGAAGACACAGTTGCTGAGGTGTTTGAGAACTACAGCAAAGACTTGCAAACCAGCTTCTAGCTAATGATCAAAATGTGTTTTTCCCACCAGTAACAAGAATCCACCCACCTCTCATATAAAATGCAAGTAGTAGACTTGCTTTTTTCCATTATTTTTGTGTCAGTTTTCAACAGGGTATTGATTAGCAGTTCAATCCTGTATCTTTAGGCTGTATAACTGCCTAGAAAATTAAACAGTACCATTGCAGTGCTCTCATCTACCATACTTACTGCTTTATGGGAATTTGAAAACCATGTATAGGTACAGAGGGAAAGGTGGGACAAGCTGTGTTGGGTTCTGAAGGACATAATCCATGCCATGATGAGGTATGTATTCGGTGGCTAATCTTTTTCTTACTGAATTGCTTTTTGAAATTGTGGTTTAAAAATGAAAACCAAAACGAACCCCAACAAACTCATAGTAATCAAGAATTTGAAATTTACAGCCTTGAAATAATATTTTAATAAAGGGCAGAAAATTGTGACTTGTAAATTAAATAATGGTAATGAAAATGGTAGAATTTATAAAGCTGTTAATAGTGTATTCAAAGCCTGAAACTTTGATAATAGATTCAAACCAAGAGGCAGATTTATAGGGCAATTCAGGCATGTGGAGAGGTGCCCAGTGTTGGTCTCCTTTGTGTTCTCATTCAGGCCCTTACTGCGGCATGGCAGAAGTGCTCCTGACAGAGTGAAGGAGAGCTGCTATGTCAGAGCAGTCTGATGTGCCAGGAATATGGGAACTCAGGGGTTGTATCCTTGCTGTCCTCAGTAATTCTTCATGCAGAGTGGGGCAGTGGCAGCAGGAGCTACTGGGACAGCCCATCTAGCCAGTGAATCATGGCTTTAGGTCACTTCTCTAGGGAAATGCAGCTTGGAGAATTTAAGAAGCTACATCTCCCCTGCCTCGGGTAGCTGCCCTAACTTAGCAGCAGTTTTGTGGTAACATTTTTCCTGTGCTGTGCCAGAGACTTGGGCTTCTCTCTGCCTTGTTCAGGCCACTTTCACAAGCAGCAGGGCATAAATCACTCAGCTTTGTTTTGCACTCTTGACACCTGCAGCTGAAGTGCTCCTTTTGGGAAAAGAATTGCGTGGAGATCAAAATCTTGCCTTTCCTGATAGAGCTGCAGAGCAAAGGCTTGAACTGTGCTCTGTAGATAACCAACAAACGTCACGAGTGGCATGCGTCAGAGGCAGCAGTGCATGGCAGGCCTCTACCTCAGGGAAAATTAGGGTTCAAACACTCGGCAGGCTTCAGCTTGGTTTCCAAGGGCTACAAAGTGAGTGGTAGCTCAAGCAGCTTTTGTGTATCAGCTTGACCTCATCTGAGAGTTTCCCAGGCAGTGAAAGCAGTGCTGGGTGAGCATCAGCTGCTCCCTGGGCTGCTGCCTGGCTTGTTAGTCAGTGTGAAGAACAGCATCTTCTGGGAGATGAGGGGCATCAGACATTTACTGAGCATCATCATGTCTTCCCACTCCTCTGTCCTTGCCTGGATGTCACTTGCTGAAGTACTGCTTCAGGTCCTGCTGGGAGCCCCTGGCAGGGTAAATGGGAGCCATGGATCTCAGAACCTCAGAGTTATCTTAAGGTCACTTAGGTGACCAACCTCTCTTGGAAGGACAGGTCAGCTACAGTGCAGACACTTCAGGCTAAGAGATAGCAAAGAGCAGGTACTCAAAAAGCATTTGGCCTGTGTTAACTAACTGATAAGCGAACCAGAAATACTGCACCCCAGCAATAGGTTGAACTCTCTTTGTTTAGAGCAAGTCTGGAACAGATGACGATTTCCTGATAGGCTCAATGGGCAGGTCATGGATTAGGGACATGTGAGATTTTTAAAAAAACAAACCACTTTCTACTGTAAGGTGATGTCTGTTGAATATGTGCATATGACCTGTGCTACAGAACAATATTTCAGGCATGTTTCAAAAAAAGAATTACCAGTGTAGTTTTATTATTATGCCTTATGTGTAAATCCAGGTGCTCTCTTTATAACCAGGCAGGGCTTAGTGGGACAAAAGAAAGTAATACAAATAACATGAACTAGCTCTTTTTTGGATAAATATCATTACAGTTTTAAGAACGAGCATTCTGGGGTCTTGAGGAAGCTGTTGTGCATTCTGTGGGCAATTACAAAACATCTCCTCTCCAGGGGGAAGGGTACCAGGATGGCAAGAGCATAGAGCAGGTATTCCAAATTCAGTAGCAATGCTCATTAAGCCAGTGCATCTCTTGTCAGACACACTATTTGTAAAGCCTTCTGGCACAGGAGGCATAAAAATTTGGGGTTGTGACCAAGAGCTGAACTCAGATGGCATAGCCAGAAGTGCTGAGGTGTTACTTCTGGCTGACCAGCTTGTAGCCAGAAGGACCTCATAAAAAATATTTTGCCTATTCTTCTTTAGTTTTTCATGATGTGAAAACAGTTTAATTTAGATAGTATGGACTGTATTTTAACTTCTGTTAAGAATAATACAGTTTCTTTGTTTCCACAGATATCGATGAATGTGCTACTGGGAGAGTTATCTGTCCACGATTTAGGCACTGTGTCAATACTTTTGGAAGTTACATTTGCAGGTGTCATAAAGGCTTTGATCTGATGTACATCGGAGGCAAATACCAATGCCATGGTAATAACTTATTTCTTAGGTGCATGTAATAGATCTGCATATTCAAAATTGAAATGACTGGTTTAAAGAGAAATATTTGCTTATTGTGGCTGAAATGTTGAAGCAGGTTGTTTTAGGTTGCACTAACATCTGTATTTTAGGAAAGAGTGGATTACAGAAATAGACTGTGAAAAGCATATATTTGGCCCCTATTCTTCTAACTGGTTCACCTGTGGAAGCTAGTGGGAGAGCAGACCTGATGATCCCAGGAATCCGTTCCAAAGCCCTTGTCCCCGCAGGTTTCACTGTGCACAGGCAGTTGTAGGTTTGGAGCAGCATGTGAGCTTAGGCTATGTCTCAGCTGTGATGCAGGTGTGCTCCGTAGCATGCCTCAAGATCTAAGATAAGAAAATGCGGCTAGAGCACACCCCAGCTCCTTCTCACCCAGGCTGCCCAACTTTCCTTCCCCTGAAGACAGGTGGGGAAGAGGCAGGGGTTGCGAAATAGCCTGTCTTCTGTCTTTGTCTGGACATGAGACTGGAATGCAGCTGGTGTATGTCCTTCAACAAAGATGTTCCCAGGTCCCACTGTCTTAGTTTCCCAGGGCCTCAACTAGTTATGATCCTTTCACTGAAAAAAGGATCATGTGGAGATAATGAGGTATTGCTTTATGTTTGTTTAAGTATATTTTTTTGGAGAGAAATCTCTAAGCAGAACACTGGAATTTGGAGATTTTTGCTTGCATCACTGACAACAAACATGGAAATGCCATATAAGGTGTTTGAAGCAGTTTTTGCTTGATGTAGAAACATCTATACAGATGTATAATAGAGGAAACATTTTATGGAAAACCAGTTTAATACCTGTGAGATTAAGAACATGAATATTCTTACACTCAGATTTTCTTTTCTTATCATGTCACCTTTAAGAAGTGGTAATTAAAATTGTGATCTTCATGATCTTAACTGCAGTCTACCCACAGCACATCACTGAAGCTGATGCTAAGGTATAAGCTGAGCAGTAAGAGAGTGGCACAATAATCCCATTTACCCTGACATTTGTATCACCACATTGATTTGTGACTGTCTTCCTTTTCCCACTGGCAATTCAGTTTTATTACATTTTTCAAAATTAATATTTTCCTAATGACCATACTACTGTGTGTCTTTGTAGGGGTAAACAGAAAGTCATGTTTCGTTTATTTAAATGATTTTTTAATGTAATTTTCTGTTGCAGATATAGATGAATGTTCCCTTGGCCGCCATCAGTGTGGTAGTTTTTCACGATGTTACAATACACCAGGATCCTACAAATGCAAGTGTAAAGAAGGTTACAGAGACAATGGAACAAACTGCATACGTATGTAATGCTCCTTTTTAAAAAGGAATTCTGAAAATAAATGTGTCCCATGTTGTAAATTTTGAGCACTATCAGGATCAGTTTCTCTTAATTATTATTAAAACTTAATACAGGGCCAAGGAATGTAGTCAGAGTTTTCTGAGTCTTAGCATACCTTGGTAAAAATATCTTTCCCTGAGACATTTTCATAATTAGAAAGAAATTCACCTCTCCCTATTCACAGCTTGATTCTAGAGATTGCTTCAGGATGAGAACATCTGAGTAAGCAGGGTAGGTCTGGTCAAGCAGTACATATTACTCATATGCTGTTATTATGTACAGTCTGCCACTGACCCATTTCAGCAGCTCACCCCATCCACTCCCCACTGCTCCCCAGATGTGAGCAGAGCCAAGAGGGAGGATTTCCCTGGAAGAATTCCTTGTTGGAGAGTTACCTTCCTCATCTTTCTCTTGGGAGAAACAGCTGTGCCCCTTGGTACAGAATAGGCCATTGGAGCACTCTGCATTTGACATCCCTCAGGACTGTGCAGCTCAATGACATCTGCTGAATCTTTTTGAGGACCCTGTATTCATATGTGGGTTCTGGTCTTTGGTGACTCTCTTTAAAGAGCAGTAGCACTGTGAACTTGTTTCCTTTGGCTGTAGCTGTCATGGTAACGTGATCTGGCTAAGGCGATATTCCACAACCTGAGTGCTTGCAATTATACATGGACACACTTCACATGTGTTACTGGGACATAGTCCTAAGGTGCAGTTGATATTTTAATATACCATAATGTTAAAAAGGGTATTCAAAAGAACAGTAATAAACAGGTGGCCACAGAGAAAGACTTTTTACCGGCTATCATCGAACGATTCATTTTAACTGTGTTATACTTGAAACACTTGTGCACAAAATATGTGACTAGAGTTCTTATGGGGGCTTTTAAGATCTCTAGTGAGATATAAAAGGCTTATTAACAAGTAGAAAATTAGAAATAACAGAACAGATGTTCTTGTGTTTCATGTCTACAGCAACTCCCCTTGCAAAACCAAGATAAAATTTGTTGTCCTTTCTTTATGAAGTATCAGGGGAAATAGTACTCTAGGCACTGTCACTGTGGTGTAGGTTGTGCTCAGTCCACCATCTCCTTTTTGTGGAGGCTGAAAAAATGCCATTTGCTTAATTTCCTGGTGTTTAGCAAAGGTAAATATCTAAATGAAGGTATTGGCTTATGTTCAATCTCTGTTAAATGATTAATGCTTATTGACAAGGAGAAAAGTTTAGAAGTGGAGAGGTCTGAATGATAACTTTCTTATGCCAAAGGTATCTGCCCATCTATGACCAAAATGGTTGTAACATTGGAGTCTTAATAAACTTGCCTCCACTCCCAAGTACAAACTTGTCCAGTTTAGAAGGCCGCTTAACATGCATCTTCCTACCCATGGTTTTTACTAACAGTGCTTTTGGGTACGTTTTGCCAACTCTGCAAGAAGTTGATGCCTGGGAGGAGGTAAGGGATGGAAGTGTCTTGGCCTTGTCATTCTAAATCATCTCTAAACTGTTGTAATGAGAAGCACTACCTAAAGGGATGTGATAAATTCAGCAGTGCTGATGCTTAAAGTATTTTTTTCAATTAGTGTAAATGTTAAGGAGGAGAGAAATTATTTCAACAAAGACTCTCTGTGTCATAATAAAATATATTAACCCTCAGATGTCCATTTTGGTCCCATTTTGATTCTCTTTGCAGTTATTCCGAATGTCATGATTGAACCACCTGGTCCATATCATACATTCAGGGGCAACAGCACGCTCCCTAAGGGAGGCAGTGGTATAACCAATAGGATTCCTGATGTTGGAGGCACAAGACAACCCCTCAGACTGCCATATGTACCTGCTGTTGTTACAGAGCGGCCAGTGACCAGGCCAACAACTCCTCCTATGCCTGGTCCAACGACTCGACTGACACCAAAGCCAACTACTCGGTATGTGCCAGTGACAACAAGGCCAGTAACGAAGCCAGTGACGAGGCCTCCACCTCCAACACTACCTCAACCTACAATGTTAAGACCCACACTACCACCACAAAGAACTCCTCTGATAACAACCGAAGAGCCTTCACATGTTCCCATTGAAACTACATCTTCCCAAGGAATAACAGATGACAACAGGATCCAACTAGATCCTCAGAAACCCCGAGGAGATGTGTTCAGTAAGTAATTTTACATATTCTTCCATTTATCAGAATTGTAGATGCATGCACTGTCCTGTTTTGGTTTTTTTGGAACACTTTAGCAATAAGAATAAATACATAAAATGAAAATGTTCATGTGGTAGAACTGCACAAATAATTTCTTTTTTCACCTAACAAAAAATGTGGAGAGGAAGTTCTGAATCAATTTAATCAAAAAACTTTTTTTATTTTCCTGAAATTATTTGTGAGTATATTGTCCTGTATAAGTGCTTAACCTAATTAATGCTTTTAGATGAAAATTTTGGAAAAATGAAGGACATTGCATTTCAATACTTTCAGTAAAACATAACTCATAAATGGTCAGTGGATTCAAATTCAGGGAGTTGGGAGTCACTCTTAGATCACATATTTCCATAGCTTTAAGAATGAGAAGAAATGGGACTATGTGTGATTACCTAAAACCTGTTATGTCGCCTGTATTGTATGAATTCAAATAGTCTTGGATGTATATAACTAAGCAATGGGAAAATTGCATAAAAAATAACAAGAGACTAATTTTTTGAACTACATCTATGAAAATGGATACATGAGAAGCTAAAGATAGTAGATTCTCATAGCGTGAACATGTGTCATTTTAAGAGTTTCTCTGAGATCTACAGCAGCATTTCTGTGCCAGCTTTAGTGCATACCACAGGAGACATTACTGGCACATGCAGAGTTACACATATCTGCCAAGAAATACTCAACACACGATTTCATCTTTAGTTTTGCTGCTAATTTTAGAGACGGGGAGGGTGTGCTGGATCAGCCCTTCTCCCTTCTTGATGCACAATAAAGCTGCTGCAGCAATGTAATAGGAGGAAAAGTTTGCTGTCTCAGAGCAGGTGTACAGGCAATGTAGGAGGTTTTTTTCCGGTTGCTTTGGCATCTGTGTGGTAACTTCTTGGGCTGTGTTCTCTTAGGTCATTCCACAGTGAAATATTTTGTTCCTTGTAAAAAAGAGGTTTGTTTTCCCTGTTGACATTTTATTTGTTGTTGACAGTTTGATAAGTTGAAAATGGAGACAAAAACTGACGTAATATTTGGGAAGAAAAATCCTGGTACTACTCAGAGGAGTGTGCTTTTGGCTTTTTCAAGGTTATTTTTTAAACAATCTATATTCGGTTAAAAGTATAAAAACATTTTAATGTAAAATTCTAAAAATAAATACAGTAAAGACTCCTAAAACAATATAATGGGAACCAATAGTTAAAAATACAGAGTTCTGTGGAAATTATTTTAGACTCTTAGCATTGTGCTTCCCAGGTGTCTTGTGTTGCAAGTGTTCTCTGGAATTCTAAAGCAAAGGGATGGTTTTCAGTTCTTTTCATGAAGTCATAACAATCATCTGTGCTCTCTCCCTAGAGGCTAGATTTTGAAGCTAATGCTTTCATTACATATGCTTCAGATATAAGGGTTTTGAGAGTGGGAAAGTTGAAGTGTTTTCTGACTGTAAGCCTATATTATGGTACATAAAACAAACACAGGAAAAAAATTACCTTTGAAAAGTGTTTATCAACTATTTAGTTAGGTCAGCTGCCACCCTTTGAGGTTTGTGATATACATACATAGCCTCAAAGGCTTCAGTATACAATACAGAAGGATTCCAACAGGTCAGGCACCAGCAGCTGTTGTTACTGGCTTCAGTAGGTTATACAGGGACAGATGGCTCCTCAGATCATGTGAATAGTATGTGTCTTTAATCCAATATTATTTCTTCTGTCCTTTGCTAAAGATATATTTGATATACGTATGTGTGTGACATAACTGTGGGACTGGAGGCGTATGCTACCTGTGTTCTAGATGGTAGGAGTTTGCATGGTGCTAGTAGTGTGATCTGTAATGAAGCAAGTGTCTTTTCTCTTCTTCCCTCTCTTTTTTTTCTTTTTTTTTTTTTCTTCTCTTCTGGCCACTTTGAAAGTATCGTTTAGGTAGTGGTCACTGGTGTCCCGTCCCACCTTCTCTCTGCCCAGAGGCATTTATTTAGTGAGTGCAGAAAGATTTTGTTTGGGATTTGAAATCTACAGTTGATTGAAAAACAGTTCTCTTCCAGAAGAATGTGCTATGTACTTGTCAAGGAAAGCATTGCTTGTAAGGTGTTACTTCACCTACTGAATCCTGTTACTGTCAGAGTTCATGGGGTAGGGAAGAAGTTACATTTCCTCATGTGGGACATGTAGAAGAGCAGGAAGAAAAGTTACAGCCACATACATTGCTACAGTGGGATGCGCAGGGCATGACTCAGCCTGTCCTTGCCTGCTCCGAGCACTGCACTTCCAAGGATAACACAGAGATACCTGTACATCCCCAGATGTTGTCACACCAGGGGTTCAGCAAGGTGTCAGTGTTCCTGGGCAGTAGCAGGGCTGCAGACCCAGCTGTCTGCGTGCTCTTGGCCAGTGGCAAATGTGAGGTAAAGCACATTAGCTCAGACGCCTTTCATGTTAGCTTACAGGTGGCATTTGCCGGGTGGGTTAACCTCGGGTTCCTGCTGGCCAGTCCTGCCCCTGCTCTCTAGGCCCAGGGGAGAGCAGTGCCCCTCTCGGCTGGGCTGCAGCTGCTCTGCGTGAGGCGCTGCAAGCTCAGGACGGCAGCGCTTCACCGAGCGTAGGCCAGGGCCTCTGGTAAAGCTTTCCTCACAGCCAAGCACAAAGTTAACAACCACGGTGTTAAGGCAATACAGAATTTTCAACTGAAGTAATCAGTCATTTAGCTAACTTCTCACGTGCTTCTTATCTGCCATGTGGATGTGCAAACCCCTCCCACCACCAAAAACGTTTGTGGATTTTTCACTTGCCTCTTTCATCCCGGAAGGGGCTTTTTCAGCTACTTCCCTCAGCTTCTTTAAAACTCAGTTACTGTTTTAATCTCACCTACATCAGACATCTTTGCAGTGTTTCTGGGTTGTGGATATGAGCTGATTTCATTTGGCTTATACAGAGCCTCTTTAGGTTCATTTCCCCACACGATCTGCTTCTCCAGTTAAGACAGCAAAGAAACTAGTTCTCAAAAATGAATTTGCACTGTGGTCCCCATATAGCTTCCTAAAAAGAGAAGAGAAATCATTGCTCTTGCCTCCTTTATTTTGGTTCTGATGGTAGAATGAAGGCAGCAGCTCAGTCATCTTATAATCCTTATTTTGGAAAACAGGGGGAAACTGATGTTAGATCCACTCTGATTATGAAGTAGGACTTCAGTTTTGTAAGGTCTTCAGAAGCGTTACAGTTTCTTCTTAGATGGCTGCTTCCTCATGTGTCACCAAGGGCTGTTTTGTCTTGAAGAGTCACACAAGGACAGGCAAACCCCAGCACAGAGAGCACTGTAGCTAGAACCACTGGCAATTCTGATCTTCCAGCCCTTAGTATCTGCCAAAGACCCGAATGTTTAAAGTTGTGTTTTCAAATTTGGTTATCTTGTGATGCTTAGACTCTTTCCTTCCTTTTTTTCCCTCTCAGGCTCTGAAGCCTTAGCCAGACTTGGAGAAAGCAGTATGACAGTAAACACTGCTTTGCTTGGCCATCTGAATAGATGGTACTTCTGTTAGGCAACCCAGGGCAAAGGGGTGGTTGCTGCACTGCGCACTGGTAGATGTCCTAGTGCACTAGACCAAATCCTACAAACATACGTGGTCTAGAATTGGTCCACATCAGAAGAGGAAACATGCCTGGGCAGGTGTACTTGTTTTCTGCAAGCATCTCTCAAATTTCAATTTTTCATTATTGAACCTTTTCCTGAGCTTACCCTTGGTGACCTGTTGCTCCCTATATTCTCTCTTCATTGTTGCTTGACCTGCTGTCCCACACGCTGAGTAAACTTGTCCTAAGCCTTCACTTCAGAGCACTTTTGAATGTGCTGCTCAGCTTGAGATCAGCTGAGGACCAGTGAAATTGATCTGTTAGTGGTGACAAAGAGCACAAGTGATAATAATGCTGATAATGTTATTTAAATGCCTTTGCAATTATTGAAAGGTATTGAGCTCTTGATTTTCTTTAGGTGCTTTACCCCTTTTCTAAAAATGCTTGCAGTGACTTTGGGGAGCTGCTTTTTCAGAGAACAAAAAAATGAGTATTTTAAAAAATGGAATTCCTGCACTTGGCCTTTGAACCACTTAGCCAGATGCAGACAGTGGAATCTGGCACCAAGGATAATCTTCTCCTGATATGGATATGGGGGGAATGGCAATGAGGGAGGAATGCAGCAATGGCTTAATATTTAACTATTTCAGGACTGATACAAACTACAGTGAAGTACAGAGGAATCATTTCTGGTTACGCAGATGGACAAAACCTCTAACAAATAGAAAGAGCTTTTAAGTAAGACTGAATTTCTGCTACCATCAGGATCTGGGTGATAAGCATTAAAAGCATAAATATAAAGACAAAGCATAATACTAGATATCAGCAGAGAAAGAACAAAACCCCTTATCTGTATTAAAAGATAGTTCACCAGTTTTCCTTCATAGCCCATAGTGGAGCTGAAAAGATTGGAATAAGGAGACTTTTCTCAAAGCAGCTATTAGAAAATTGAAAGCTTGGATTAAAACTTGATTCTTTCTGGTCCCACTTTCAATGACTGAAAAGTCCTTAGTGAGTAAATGCAGTTATGTGTTTCTTGAAGGTGTTGAAAAAGGGGAAATTCTAAAAGCAAAGAAAATGTGTTTTGTTATTCCTTGATAGCATTATAGTAGCATCAATTTACAATAGCATTTCATTTGTCTTCACTATTCTGGCACCTCCTAAAATGTATTTATATTAATTTTTAAGCATTTAAGGTAGGCACTTTGTTCCTGTTTGTAATGTGTAACCATAAGGTCTAGGAGTCTTACAAATCATATCCTCCATCAATCCTCCAGCTAGTTTTATCCCCAGATCTGATATGCAAGCTTCTGTAGACTACATATTTTAGCTGTGTTTCCTTGAAACTTGGCACTCTGCACCTCCTAAATAGCTGCTCATAGAAAAGCAGACAGGTTACTTTTCAGAAAATCTTCTGGAAAGATATATAATATGGTGTTTGTTTAGGTCAAAGTTAACGAGCCTTGTAAGTGCCTGAGAAATGCGAGATTGGACTTCAGAGTGGTCGCACGTGAGCACCATCTCTCCCCTCTTACGCAAATAGCAGAAGGTGGGACAGTCCGTCAAGGCCCTTCCTGAAATAATTCACCCTGCAAAATTTGGGTCTGGAATTTTAGGCAACAAATCCTAGACACTATGGTTATCCAGATAAAAGGGTGAAATGTACCTCTCTGTTGTCCTCCTTTTTAGCCCAGCATATATCAAAGTCTTCCCTGGAGGAAAACAGGGCATATTCTTGTTTACTTTGTCTGACTAAGCTCTGGACTACCCTTCCTTTTAGCTATTTTCTACTAGTTCTGCGTGAGATCTCATCACTCGTGTTTTTTTTTTTTTTAAAGTGGAATTTAACAACTTTCAGTTGTAAGTTTCCAGTCAAATAATCTTTGTCCTTTGTTGTTGTTTTTAACAAATGGAAATCTTGGCCATGATTATTGTGTGGAATGGAATTGCATAAGAACACAGTGTTTGCTGTAAGGCAGAACTCTGCATTATTAACGGTAATAACAATTACTAATAACATGAAGCTGCACTCTGTCTTTTGTTTTGCTTTTGTAACACCAAAACAGTGATTATTCCGTAATTACAAATAACCTGACATATGTACACACCATCTCTTATACTCCCAAACTCAGCAATTAGTAAGGAAATGAAAAAAAGTCTTACTGTTTTCCCACAGGATTAAAAAACTGGAAAGAAATCAGTCTTGGGCAGTTTTTAAATGTTCCCCCCCACATTTGTGCATCTATGAAGAACTCAGCTCATGAACTCTGAGAACATGGTAGTGTTGATATATTGGCTCACTCAGAGCTTATAAAATTCTCCAAGAAAAAGAAGCCAAGTTTATATTTAACGAGCTTTATCAAACCATTGAAGTTAAGTGAAAAGCATACTGATAGGCTATATAAAGTACACAGAAAGGGCTTGGAAAGCTCGCAGAAAATAATTGTGCCAAATACTTTCTCCCACGATCGCCACTCAACACATTGGTCGTTGTAGTAAGAAGTAGTGTACACGTGGATCACATTTAGAGCCCTGCATCTCTTACAGTAACTCTTGTTTCATATGGAGTGCACATTCCTCTAATTAGCAGTGAGCGCTGAAGTGGCTGGTTTAAGCTCTGCAACATGTTATTCTAGAAGTTCATAACAATGGTGTTTGGAGAGGACTTTTCTCTAAAGCTTTGAAGAAATATATTTTTGTAGAGCTTTAATTGTAGGTAAATATATCAACTGTAATTTGGAGAATGATCGTATGTGTGCACAGCTGTAACTCGGATTTGTATGAAACAGCAGTGCATTAGAAATGGTATTTTAGTAAGTAAACTGAAGTAGTTTGGAAAATAAATTCCTAGTATTTCCTGCAGTATTTTCCATAAATGAGTTATGGGGGACTGGCAAAAGGCCGTCCACAGGGCAAACACATACCTCGAGACTGTGAATATCCTACAAATCCTAGAGCATGGCAGTGGGTTTCTTCAGTGCTCTCTGCCACAGTGTTCATTTAGAGCCCTGTAACTACCTGCCTGTGAGTTTGTGGTCCAAGCCTTTGGTCCCTAAGAAAAACTTGGGGCACAGGGGAGGAACAGGAGGATATGGAGGTGCAGAGTGTTAAGTTCGGTGTTGCTGGTGGGTACATGGTGGCTGGAGGGTAATGGCACTGCGAGGTTCCTCACAGCTTGCTTTTCTGTCTGCTCCTGTGGGCTGGCTGCTTTCCATCCTGTGCCTTGTGGATGTGGCTGATGTAAAGACACCTCAAGAAAAGGCTGCATGTCCACTCTAGACTGGTAGCTGCAGTACCTATGTATGCTGCGCTCAGCGGTTTTGAAGCAAATTGCCAACTTGTTCTCCATAGCGTAGGAACTGAACAGTATCGTTTTTTCCTTAGCGCATTCCAGGAAGAGGAAAGGCAAGGTGATAGTGCCTGGGGGGTGCAGCGTAGATGTGTCTCATGTGTGGGGAGTGCTGTGATCCACCAGGAGCAGCAGCCTGCAGCGTGGTTGTAATGTGAGGCGAAACTCCACTGTGAGGACTTATCTAAGGCAAAATTGCAGTCAGAAAACTGTCCTGCCAGAAGTGACAGTAAGTAACTTGCAGGATGCTGTTAGTTTATCAGGCTTTATAAATAAATACTCCTGCAAAATATGCTGTCCCAGGCAGCTGGCCACAGTATTCCCAATTTTTAACATCCCTGAGCGAACCCACTGCAGCTGAATGTAAATGGTGCTGCTCGGTGCTGTGCGTGCCGCGGGGCAGCTCGCATTCATGGCTGCTCCCTAAGCTACTTCTCACCGTCATCCATGCCTGTAAAGCGGTCAAGAGCAGCGTGTGAGTGTGTGCTGTTCCACCTCTGAGCATTTTATGTGGCCCTGAGCACCTCTGTGCTGCTGTGACTGGAGCTGCTTGATGGCCTTGGTCAACTGTCCCGCCTGCTGATCAGAGCGAGCTCCTAGGAAAGACAGCGGAGTACTGCTGGGAGGGATTAAGGGTGAATGATGATTATAGAGCATTCCTGCTTCAATTTTCCTTGTTCTTTTGCTGCCTGAGGTAAACAGATTTTTTTTCTCTGTATACTTGAATATAGTATTTGTGCATAAGTGGACTGCAGGGTGATTATTGGCCTAGGTGGTGTGGCCTATGCACATTCATAAGGGTTCTTTCATGTTAAATCTCAAAATTCTAATCACAGAAGCAACAACAACAAAAAAAATTAAACAAAGCAGCAAAAATATTATTACAAACAATGTATCCTTAAAAATTAAGAGGCCTCTATTACCCAAGCCAACCTAAAGTCCTTGGGGCTATTTGAACATGATAGACTGCAAAGAGACACAATCTGAAATCTACTAAGGATTTTAAAAAGAAAAAAGGAGAAAAAAAGGAGACGTAATGATACCAAAAATGGCTATAATATTAAGGAGTTAATCAGTTTCCTACAGACTTCAAGCTTTTTATTTATATTATACAAAATTATCATCCAAAATCTGTAGCCTGTAATATTACTTTAAAATGTATTAGCATTTGGTTGACCTTTTATCAGGCTGCTTATTTTGTCCTAGTTCCAAAAAGCAGGAAGCTACTTCATTCTTATTTTTCATTGTCTTCTGGCTTTAGAAGAGCTCTTGCAGCAGTGCTATTTACATGTTGTCCTAGTGCAAAATAAGTTCCTTCTTACCTTTTGATTTGATTTCCTAAAAACATCAGTCATTTTAGAACAGTAAATCATCTCAGTTCTTCTTGTTCTTACTCGCTTAAGAAGCCTACAGAGACATTAAGTTACTTATTGTGGCACTGCAAATGGAAAACGTCTCAAGTTTTTAATAGATAAGGCCCTTACAAATGCTGTAGGTGTCAGAGGTGTCTATATCATCTAAGGACATGTCTGAAATGCATTACTGTTATATTAATTATGCACTAGACCTGCCTCTAAGGAGGAATTTCTAAGACAGCTCTATCCAGTGGTTTATCTGTAGTTGACAGCTGTCCATCAGGCATGACATTGGTGTGTAATTTCTGGAAACTTCTACAGACTGGCACAGCATCTTCAGAAGTCTTTGTAGCCACCTGACTTTGGCAGCCATCGTTGCCACAAAGACATCTTAAATTTCAGGTTGTTCTGGCTGCTGAATCTCTAATAAGCTCTAGGCCCGTTAATGTTAATGTTAATGAGAGTGTTCCTTCTCCTTGCAGCTGAAGGACAGGCTGTGTTGGAAAGCAAAAAGCATAATTACAGTTGAATTCCAGCTGCCACTAGAGCTCCTTTTCAACTCTCAGCACAATCCTGATAATTGTGTTGGGAGCTCTAATCCTTTGCAGATAGATGGATGTACCTTCAGCCATGTTTAGAGGGTTAGGTGTGTAGGGGGCCTCTTCCAATGACCACAGCCTCGTCTTGAGATTCTCCTATAAGCATCTCAGGAGGGTGAATGGACTGGAAAGTCTGAGCAAGGGTTTTAATGTGGCTTATTTTATTGAGAAACCACTATCTTTAAAAGTAGTGCGCTTCAAGGTTAAAGCTCTTTTTTTCTTTTTTTTTTTTCTTTTTTTTTTTTTTCCC